TACCATCTATGGCCTCAACGGCCAAGGGTGTATCTCTCAATTGGAATGGGATACAATGCATATTAGCGAAAGTTTGGTCTATAAAGCTTTCTGCTGCTCCAGAATCTAATAATGCCATCGTAGTAATAAACCCCTTTTCCCAAGCTAGAGAGACAGGAATCAGAAGCCTAAGGTCTTTTTTATTATGCATAGAGGACAGTAATGAAACACCCAAGGCCCGTCCTCTAAGGGAACTTAGGTGCGAGCGTTTCCCGGACGATTAGGGCAACTGAGACGTAGGTGACCTCTCAGCCCGCAGTATAAACAGAGACCCTCCCTTCTTCTGTACTGTCTCTCAGCCTCAGATAAGCGAGTATTACCTATTTGCATAGGTTCTGGTGGAGTAGGATTATAGGAGTCAGGGTTCTGAAATGAGGGAGCGAGTCTTACAGGAAGTCTAGTAACTCTTTCCCGAGTGTTCTGCCTCTGTCTCATGCGTTCATCTATTCTGGAAATGAAGGATACTAAATCCTCTAAATTTTCCGGAAGTTCTCTAGTGGCAATTTCATCTAGAATTTCATCAGACAACCCATTCAAGAAAACATCCATAAAAGCTTGTTCGTTCCATTTCACTTCTGCTGCCAATGATCTAAACTCTAGAGCATATTCTACAAGGGTCCTATCTTGTTGTTTAAGGCGTAACAGGGATCTGGCCGCATTAATCTTCCTCCCTGGGGGTCAAAGGTTCTTCTAAAAGCCGTGACAAACGCAGTGTAGTTGTAGACTAAAGGATTGTCATTCTCCCAAAGGGGATTGGCCCATCTAAGTGCTTTATCTATTAGCAGGGTTATAATAAAGCCTACCTTAGCCCTGTCAGTGGGGTAAGCCCGGGGTTGTAGTTCGAAATGTATACTTATCTGGTTTAAAAAACCACGACAAGCATCAGGCGAACCCCCATATCGTAATGGTGACGTGACATGGGAAGATGCGCCTACAGTGGCTACTTCCAAACCAGTACTTAGCGAGTGGCTAGCAGTGGAACGTATTTCTTCAGACTGGGTACTGGAGCGTGTCAACAAAGTTTGTAACGCTAAAGCCATTTGGTCCATTCTATGGTCCATGGCCTCAAATCTGGGGTCAGGAGGACTAGCACCTGCAGGATCCATCATGGCCCTGTCGTAATGTCAGGAAACTGACAGGGATCCAATACGCAGAGTGCGCACAGAAGGAGGTACGTATACCGGACCTTAGAATGGCCGGACTAACGTAAGGACAAAGCAAGAATAGTCAAAAGGTAAGCCGAGGTCAAGGGAGCCGGAGGACAGGTAAGCGAGATACAAGCCGAGTCAAAGGAGAGGAGAGGACAACAGGACAAAAGACAAGCAAGGGTCAAAACCAGAAACACTAGATAAAGAACGCGCTGAGTGACTAGCAAGCTAGAACCACGACAGGGCAATGAGCAGTAGTAAAGGTTTCCTTTAAATACCCTGTACCTAAATAGAGACCACGCCCCCAAAAGGTCCGGAATAGCGGTTCCCGGCACTTTATGCAAATGCCGACGTCATGACGTCGACGCTAGCCGTCACGTCATAAAAGGGGGAGGAGCTAGCGCGGCCGGCGCGAAAACGGCCGAAATATGCCGAAATGCTAGGGGAAGGGAGCCCCTAAGCAGAGAGGATGTCCTCCCTGGATACATCACCAACAGGTACCCTGACACACACCATGTGGGAGCGACTCTGGATCAATGCATGTCTGTTCAAATAATGTGGGCGCACGTTTCAGTGCCTGCCCCTGTGGTAGTGTTTTGAAAAGGCTTGTCAGCTGTTTGTATTTGAATAGTTGTATAAAGGTTGGGCATGATTCCCCTAAGATGTTGGAGAGAGTTCTCAGCCCTGTCTCGGGATGGAGGTGGTGTAATATGGGCAGTGGGTCAGTGAAGAAGTCTTTATATGCACTGGCGTCAAGGCCCAGTTGGAAGTTAGCGTTGTGCGTCAATGGGAGTAGTGGTGATGGGTATGAAGTAAGGCTGCTCCACCTCGCTATCATGTGCCAGGCCTGTATTATAGTGTGTGTATATATGGGTGCGTCCACTGTTTTCCATAATATTTGCACTTTGTTTTTCGACCAATAGACTATCCGCAGAAGATGGCATGCGGCATAATAGATAAAGAAATCTGGCAGTACCAGACCTTGGGCTGTGTAAGTTAGTTGTACTTTAGTTGTACTTTAGTCGAGGTTTTTTCCCATTCCATACATATTTCCCTAGTGCCATGCTTAGGGAAATGAAGTAAGACTGTCACGGTTCCACAGGATTCTGTCGGCGTGGCCACACAGAAACACAGCGATCACGTCGACAGAAATAATTAATACTTATCTTGCTCGCGGCAGACCAGTACCCAACCTCCTTCCATCCCGGTCCCCAGCGTGTGCGGCATTCCTAGAGACGTCGGCCGCTGTGGTTCCAGTTTTAATGGGGCTAAAACCCTTGCCCACATTAAAGATGGTGTTTACGTGCGTGCAACATCACGTCATTGACGTGCACGTACGTTTTGGTGTCAGAGGCTACATTCAGCCAATTACAGCTTTAGGAGGGTTATTTAAACCGAAATAGCCTTTTGATCAGTGCCCTCTCATGGTTTCCCTTTGCTGGTGATCCGAGAGTGTGTTGCTGATTATATTATCCTGGTTTTTGACTTTGGCTTCATTTTGACTTCCCTGATTTCTGGTATCCTTGACTTTTGGCTTTCCTTCATCGTTGTGTCTCATTCTGTATCCCTGACCTCGGCAAGTATTTTGACTATTCTTGGGTATGTTAAGTTCAGCCATTCTAAGGTCTGGTGAGATGTTATCCTTAGTCCTAGGTGTGATATTATTTATACGTGCTGGATCAACTAGTAACCCTGACAAAGACATCGGGATCAAGATGGGGATAGCCTGCAGCAGGTATATCAACCGTGGGAAGAAGTTCATTTTAGCCACTTGAATGCAGCCCAGCCCCGAGATGTGTAGAGTCCTGCATGTCTCTCTTAAGCATGTCTCTCTTAATCTTATTTTCAAATTGGAGACTACTCCATATTCATTAAAGGCTTTTAGAATGTTTGGGAATGAGATTCCTGGGTTAGTGACAAAGAAGAGGAGGCCATCTGCATATGTTGCGATGTGTGGTCCCTTTTTCTACCCCCGTGATGTCCGGATTTCATTGTACCACTGTCAAAAATGGTTTGAGAGTAAGGGCAAAGAGCAGTGGAGATAAGAGGTATCCCTGGAGGGTGCTTTTGTGGATAGTGAAGGGCCCCGTTCACGATCACATGTGCCTTGGGCTGCCTGTATAGCACTTCTATCAAGCCCCTCATGTGCGGTCCCAGCCCCAGGTGGGACAGCACCTGAAACATGTAAGTCCAGCTAACTCTGTTGAAGGCCTTCTCAGCATCTGTAGAGAGTAGGAGAAGGCCTCCACGTCTGGGCAGCTTCTCGTGTATGAATGTAGTGCCCTGATAGTGTTATCCCTTGTCTCGCGGCCCGTTACGTACCCTACCTGATCTGGATGTACCAGTGAAGGGAGATGTGTTTGTAATCGCGTTGCCAGGATCTTTGCCATGAATTTCAGGTCACAGTTGATGAGGGAGTTGTGTCTGTAATTCCCACAGTACTCTCTGTCCTTGCCCTCTTTCAGCAAGATTGTGATATGTGCTGTCAGAGATTGTGTGGGTACGTGTTGGCTGTCTCTTATAGAATTATAACAAGCTAGCATTGGTGTGTAGAGGATGTCAGCGAAGCACTTATAGTAAGGTAGTGGCAGGCTGTCTGGACCAGGCTCTTGCCCGGCTTTGAAGCCTTCACAGACTGTGTCAACTCCGCTAGCGTGATGGGTTCATCTAGAGAGTCAGCTACGTCCTTGTCAAGTGATGTTGAGGTGTCTGTCTTTAAGTAAGAATGTATCGTGTCCCGTAGGCGGGTTTGGCTCTTGGTCATCTGATGTTGCAGGTGGGAGTAAAGATCTGAGTAATATGTTCGTATTGCCTCTTGGATTTTGGTTGGTAAGCAATGTAAAACCCCTGTTTTGTCATGTATTTTGTCTATGTATGTGATTGGTTGGCGTTTAGCAAGCATTTTTGCCAAGAGTTTTCCGCTCTTATTGCCGTGCAATGTAAAAAACGCTTTATGTCGTAATGTGTCCCTGTGGTGTCTCACTTGTAAAAGCTTTGCCTGGTGCATCAGGTGTCTGTTGTATTTGTTGGCTTTGTCTATCTTTTTAATTTCTTCTATGATAGAAGTAATTTGCACCTCAGTTTGTCTTTTCAATTGTGCGCCCTTTTGTATGAGATGGCCTCTCACTATGCCTTTATGTGCTTCCCAGACTACTGTGGGTGTCATCTAATCCAGGGTTTTAATGGCGAGGTATTCCCTCAGTATCATACTCATGTCAATAAGTGTGTCAGGCAGGGAAAGCATGTATTCGTTCAGTCTCCATTTTGTCATTTTGTGTCTCTGTAAGGGTGGTGCAAGCGTAATTAACACGGGTGCATGGTCAGACCAAGTAGCAGTTCTGTGGTAGGCTTTGTTGACCAATGATAGGTGGTGATGGTTTACAAAAAAGTAGAAATGTAGGTGTTGTGGGGGTGCGATAAAAAGGTATAATCCTGTTCACCTGGGTGATGGACCCTCCAGCAGTCAAGCAGTTATGAGCATTTGAGAAGGGTTTTGATCAGGGAGAGGTGTTTCGACGGGACATGAGGTACTCCTGAGGATGAATCCCATTTTGGGTACAGGGTCAGATTAAGGTCTTCCCCTAGTATTAGTAGTGCCTCCGAGAAGCTCTCCAGCTTTCAGATCATTCACAAAAGGAATCTGTAGTGCCTCTATTTGGGTGCGTATATGTTTGTAAATGTGTATGTTGTCCCAGCTATTGTGCCCTTTAAGAACAGGTATCTCCCCTCCGGATCCGTTAGAGCCGCCCACTCAGTGAATGGGACACTCCTGTTCATCAGACACTCCACTCGATTTAATTGTGCAATAGTCACTGTGATATCCCATCCGGAAGTGGTGGTTTGTCAATTTGGACCTAGAATCCTCCCTAAAGTGAGTTTCCTGTATGTATACTATGGAGGCTCTAGCAGCATGAAAATCTTGTAGGGCTTCCGAATGTTTCTCAGGATTATTGAGCCCTCGGGCGTTGATAGTCAGTATAGTGAGATCTGCCGGTGCTAACGACATGGCCTGCTTTGGGAAAGGGGAGAAAAAAAAAGAGAAAAAAAAAAAAAAGGCGGAGGGGTGGGGGTTGAGGGGAAGAAGGTGTTTTGCTGTAGGTGAACCTACACCGTGGAAGGCACTGTCTAGGTACGAGTGTCAAGGGGCAGTGAATCTCCTGTCCACCAGTAAACTAGGGTTCCTGCAATCCCAGACCAGGACGCTCAATCCTGTGGAGGAGTCAAAGGAGGTTAGAACCTCTCAGGTGAGGTCATTGGGGACCACTGTGTATAGTCGCAAATTCTACTTGGTCAGAACCACTACTCCCCATAATGGCTCTATATGCGGGTATTCAGCCAGTGTGTTCCTTGCTATAAAAATCATGGCCCATAGGCCCCATAAACATAATGCGTGTCATGGCAAGTATGTAACATTGAAGAAAAAGTGGCACTAGAAAAAGTGCAAAGGCGGGCTACAAAATTAATAAAAGGAATGGAACATATCAGCTATGAAGAATAAATTCAAATCTCTTTCATTTAGAGAAACATTGTCTGAGAGGGGATATGATAACATTATACAAATATATTTAGGCCAATACAAACCATTGTGTGGAAATCTATTCACAAACCGGACTTTACATAGGACACAAGGTCATGCATTTAGACTGGAAGAAAAAAGATTTTGTCTAAGGCAAAGAAAGGGTTTATTCACTGTCAGAACAATAAGGATGTGGAATTCTCTGCCTGAAGAAGTGGTTTTATCAAAGTCCATATACATGTTCAAACACCTCGATGCATACCAGTGGCGTACTAAGGGGGGGGCGGTCCGCCCCGGGTGCCAGCCGGGTGGGGGGTGCCATGGCCAGCCCCGCCGCCCCCCCCCCATGCTGCAGCCGCCCGAGCGCTCTGTAAAGAGCCTCAGGCGGCTGCAACTTTGCCCGGGCGGTGCGTCCATGAGCCCGCACCCGCCAGCTGGAAGCTGACAGGAAACCACCCCCCACACAAACCCACAACACACCCCAAACCCACCCAAAAAAAAAAAATGAAAGAAAAGGGAGAGAGAAAAGGAGGGGGTGAGAGAGAAATTGGGAGGAGGAGAAGGAAATTGGAGCGGGAGGAGAGATTGAACATTCATCACATACACACACAATGCACCCTTGCACACAGAAAAACACACAGGCACACACACACAAGCAATGCAACTCAAGCATACACACAATGCATCCCTTTACGCACACAGAAACACACAATGCATTCATTACACACACTCAATGCACCCCTTACACACATTCAATGCATCCCATACATACACAGAAACACACCTTGCAGTCCTTACACATACAAACACAATTTCACACAATGCATTCCTTACACACATATCAGGACATCCCCCTACACACTCCACCCCCTGTGAACAAACTCATTGGTGGAACATGAAGGTGGACCCTGGGACCCAGACCTTGAGCTGTGTAAAGGACCCCCAAAAAATGGAGCTGCTTACCGTTCTCCCAGAACATTGATTTTTGTGACCACAGTTACAAACCACCTCCAGAGAGCCTGTTCTGCACCAGACCAGTGGAGCCAGACTGCAGCTAGAGCCCACCATCATCCTCATCTGGTTGTAAGTAGGCAATCTAGTATATTATTCGTGGCACTAAGCTCTAATTTACCTCACATTAAAGAAACACTATAGTCCCCAGAACCACTTCAGCTTAATGTAGTGGTTCTGGTGTCTATAGCCTGTCCCTGCAGGCCTTTTAATGTAAACACGGCGGCACTGCAGCACTGGCGTTAGTTAACATGGCAAATCATATGGCTGGGGCATTGTGATGTCACATGGGGGGCGGCAAACTTTACTTTTGCCTAGGGCGGCAAAAATCCTTGTACCGGCCCTGGCTGGAGGGGGCTGTGTGAGCTGTGGCCGCACAGTGTCCCATGGTAGTTAGGGTGCCGTGCGGCCAGTACAGCTCACTCAAGCAAACAGCTGATAAACTGGCCGCACGGAGGAAATGTGTATGTGTGACTGTCTGCCTGTGACTGTCTGCCTGTAACTGAGACTGTCTGTCTGTAACTGAGTGTGTGACTGTGTCTGTAACTGAGTGTGTGACTGTCTGCCTGTAAATGTGTGTGTGGGGCTGCAGGGATTTTGTAGAAGGGGGTGGGGGTTTTGTATTGGGACAGGAGTCTTTATAAGGGGGGATAAGCAGGGGATTTGTGGAAGGGGGTTGCGGGGGTTTTATAGATGGGGCAGTACAGGATTTGTAGAAGGGGCAGGACAGAGGTTTTGTAGGAGGGGCAGGGCAGGACAGATACTGCCGCAGTGACAAGGTGGGGACCCACTCGGAGAGTCAGCATTCTTAATTGCTTGAGATTCCCTGTGTGTTTGCCTATAATTGAGCCTGACATGCGGCATAGCAAGGAACAGTGTGGAGCAGCTGGGGAGCTCAGTCTCTATGCGGCCATCTTACTCAGCCTCCAAGCCATGCCCAACTTCTTGGTTCTTCTGCCAACTCAAGTTGTTTTATGTGTCACTAACAAGCAGCATACCTCCCACATTTCAAATGGACAAAGAGGACATGGCCAGGGTCAGGAATGTTCTGAGAAATTTTAGGTTACTTACTAATGGCAATTTATCCAAATAAAATTTAATTTTAAGCAAGAACAATGTACACATGGTCATTTCAAAGCAGAAGTATTTTAGTTTAATTACACATTAATGTGAGTATAAATGTTGTGGACTTATTTTATACACTTTCACACACCAACAATATGGACCTCCTAGAAAAGAAGGAAATTAGGATAGAAAAAAGGGACAGTGGGACCGGAACGTGAAATTGGGACTGTCTTTTCTAAATATGGCCACTTGGATGGTATGAAGCTGTAGCAGTACTGCCCATTACGTAGGTAGATACATCAATATTTTAAACCTTGTTTCATAGTACGATAAATGACACGTGCAATCTCCTATCTCATACTCAAAGTTGTTTCAAGTGCTACTGACAGACAGTATCTATAGTGCTATATAGGGAAATACAGCAGTAAGCTAAACCTAGTCTTACACTATGATCAATGTCCTAGGCTGCTTCCACCTCCCACACAGATATAACAAGTTAAATTGCAGAGTATCACTACTGGTCTGTCTCCTTCGAGAGCTGGAGTCAGGGTGTCTGAAAGAATCCTGCTAGAAAGTATAGTTTGTTTTACTGCCTCTTCTTTTTTCCCTCTTTTTGGTGAGCTGTCACTTGATCTGTGAATAGAATCAACATTTAGTGCATGTCCACCATCAATCATCTTTTGTGTTTGTGTTACAGCCCACATGACTGGGCAGACTTCTTGTCAATCATTGTAAACTTAGCTGCTCAGAAAGTTGCCTCCTCTCCATTCCATTGCCTTTTTTTATGTCAACAGGAGCAGCACTCTGAACCACAAATCCAAATGAACATGTTGTGCATTGTACAAATTGTTTCCTACAAAATTCTGGCATGTGGTTGTTCAGAAATTGGATCACCAGATTTGCACTAATTGGGACTAATTGCAGTTCAGAACAGAAGGAATCTCAAGGTCAAGTATTTCTAGGGACACGCGAAGTACAAAAAGCACAATTCTTCTCTGTGAGAAGCAATGATGGTGCATGGTAATTGCGGATTGATGAAGAGTAGTAATGCAGCACATATGCTGTAAAACCCTTCTGCTTCTCTATGAGAAGCATGTTTAAAGGCTTAAGATATTGATTTTGATGATCTCACAAAAGGTGGGGGGCCTGCAGTGCCAAGACATGGACAACACTTGATTAAAGTTTTTTTTTATTTTAAAACTGGGGCAACAATATTCTAAACATGCTCAGGAACACTCTAACATTACATATATACAATTGTACTCAAAATTATTCCACCATCATTGAAAATCAGGTTGCAAATTGTTTTATTTGCAATTAACAAATTAACAAAAGCAATTGAAATAGCTAAAAACAACACTTCAAATGGTATTCCCAAAATCAACAGAAAATGCAACTTATGAGTTCTCCAGTTTCAAAATTATTCAACCCCTTCATGGCAAGCTTTAGAACTTAGTAGAGCACCCTTTTGCTGTTATGGCCTGCTGCAGTTGATATGCATAGCAGGGACATGTAGTGCCTTTGCTAACTTTTTGTATCATGTTCCTTGTTTGTGAAATGTGATAATCTCTTCTCTTAACCCCTTAAGGACCGAGGACGGTTCAGGACCGTCATCGGCATTTTTGCGTTGCCGACCGATGACGGTCCTGAACCGTCCTAACGGTCAGAGCTACTTACCTGATCGCCGTCGTTCCCCCGGCGGCGATCAGCGTGGCTCCGGTTGTGGGGAGACTGCCTGCAGCCCAGACGGTCTCCCCACGGCAGATTAGGACCCCTGTGGCCATGTGATCGCTTAACACAGCGATCACATGGTCACAATGGGTGTCCATGTGTCTGCCTGCAGGGGGACTGTCTGTGCTGACAGGCAGTCTCCCTGCTAGTGTAAAATAAAAAAATAAAAATAAAGTTAGTGTTAATAAAAAAAAAAAAAAAATTATATATGTGTATATATGATATATAGACATATATTATATCTATATAATATATGTCTATATATCATATATATAATGTCATACTAAGTGTATTTTATATTAATATGTACTTATATTAATATAAAAATACACTTATAATTAAATTACACACGTATATATATAATATATATAATAACTATATATATATTGTGTATATATATATTATTATAAAATATAAATAATAAGTAATTTAAATTAAATAAATTTTTTTTAAATAATAATGAAATTTTTTAAAAAATTATATAGCTATATGAAATTGTATTCTAACTGTATTTTAAAATTAATATATATATATATTTATATCAAAATACACTTAGAATGAATTTGTATATATATCTATGTATATAAAAATAAATAAAAATAATAAGAAATATACATATGTCCATATACAAAATTACATAAATTATATAAATGCATATATATTTAAATTCTACGTGCGTATTT